AAAAAAAAAAAAAAAAAAAATAAGGATTTAGGGGCTCTGGAAATCAACCAAAGATAAAAAAAAAAGGAGAATCATTTATTCATAAAAAAATACTATATTTTCAGCAAGATCAGCAGGAACTGTGGCCTCCTGGTCTGGGGCCACTCCCTTGTCTCCACCACAGCTCTCTAGGCAAGAATGGTGATGCTGCAGGTGGAGAGATGGCTGGAAAATTAGCAGCTTTGCTGCCAGACGGAGGAGGGAGGGCTGGTTCGATTTCAGGCAGAAGGTGAAAACACAACACAGCATTATCAGCAAAAGTAGCAGACTTGGTAGGAAGTGAACAGAAAAACTCACAGCTCCTCTAGCCTGAGCTTGGGGCCCTGGGGCAAGTGGCACACCAGTCGGAAATTCAGCAGTGAGATCCCAAATGAGAGTGCCGTAGATGGGCTGGAGCGAGCCTTCCGTTCAGAGCCAGCTGCTGGAAAACCACTCACAGGCACGGAGACCTTTGAGGGCCGAGACGAAAGCAAAGGCCGAGGCTGATCTGAGAACCACATGAACTCCAAATGCCAGGCTGTGGCACCAAAAATGGCCTCAGATGTTTCCACATGTCTTTTGGCTGGAGCGAGGGGAAAATACTTTCCCTCAGATGAGAACTACTGCTCTAAAGCAACTATTAAAGTAACATCTAATTGCTGTCCTGCTTGATGAAAGTACATTTGAACACTCTTCTATCTGACAACTGAAAATAAGTAACATTTTTAAAGTTTTCAAAAATCAACAGAGAAATTAATATCCTCTTACTGGCCATGATAATTATCTCCTTAATATACTATGTTCTCTCAAATAAATGTTTACATACAGCCATCCATGAATTGTTAAATAGTCTCTATTCTAAAAAAAAATAAAACTCAATATATATATATTCATAAAGATACCATAACCTATAATAATATACTAAGACCAAAAACCTAAAGTAATAATAACTAAAAATAACCTAGAGCCTTAAATTTTAGTCAGAATCTCACCTGAGTAAAAACCTGACAAAGAAAAAAAGTTATTAAACAAATTATAAAAGGCCATTATTTTAGGTTTAACTCAGATATTAGTCTTCAGTAGACCAGAACACACCAAAATAAAATCACTCATACAAAATACAACATAGACAAACTAAAACTTTTTTTTTTTTTTTTTGAGACAGAGCCTCAAGCTGTCCCCCTGGGTAGAGTGCCGTGGCATTACAGCTCACAGCAACCTCCAACTCCTGGGCTCAAGCGAGTCTCCTGCCTCCGCCTCCCAAGTAGCTGAGACCACAGGCGCCCGCCACAACGCCCGGCCATTTTTTGGTTGGGATGTCATTTGTGTTTTGGCGGGTCCGGGCTGGGGATTCGAACCTGCTACCTTAGGTGTACATGGCTGATGCCTTAGCCGGTTGAGCTATAGGCGCCGAGCCGACAAACTAAAACTTAAAAAAAACTCAAATAAATCCCCAAACAGACCATTTCTTTCCTCCTAAAAACAAAAATCCCAACAAAATAAAAAATCTCCCCAAACTCATACAAAAGTATAACTGGAAGCCCTTATTCCCACCTTGCAAAGCCCCGCCCCCCCATTCTACCATTCCCCAATGATAAGACCAACTAAATACATTTACAGTAATGACAAATGGTATCAGTGCCTAAAGTCTGGGTCAACCTCTAAATCTGAGGTGTTGACAACAACAAAATATTAAGTTTATACTAAAATTGCCTTCTTGTGTATTTCAAAATTCAGCCAAGAAGCTTCTCCACACATAGTAAATTAAAACCTAATTGGATATAAGAACAGAAAGGCAGTCAACTATTCAAACCATGTTCAAATAAAACAAATGCTGAATTACCATCAGTCTGCTGTTTCCTTTTTCTGGCCATAAATCTTCTCTGACCAGGCAACATGCGGACTCTTCCTAAACCAACTCTGGTTTGGGGAGCTGCCCAATTTACAAATCTTTCTTTTTTACTAAATGAAACAGCATTTAATCTGTATAAAATTTTTCTTTTAAAATTTAGAAAAAGAGTCTATAGGTGTAAATAAATTACATTTTATTATTTTCAAGTTCATCCAGATGTTGAAGAAACACAATTTAAAGACATTTAATAAAAGAAATTCACATCGACCACATATCAAGATCAAAAAAGTCTTTTCAACAGAACATCACAAGACCCAGAAGTTAAAGGCTTTAAAAAAAAAATTTAGTTCCAGGGCGGCACCTGTGGCTCAAAGGAGTAGGGTGCTGGCCCCATATACCAGAAGTGGGGGGTTCAAACCCAGCACCAGCCAAAAACTGCAAAAAAAAAAAAAAAGAAAATTTAGTTCTATGACTTATTTACCAATGTAACTAATTTCAGAAATTGATTTTCTAAAGAACAAAACAAAACAAAAACTGACTTTCCTATAACTAAAAAAAATAAACTTTTATCTGGGAGTCTGAATACCTGAGTTCTGTTCCTGTCTTGTTCACTAAGTTGAATAGTCTTACGCAGGTCACTTTCCCCTCTGAGTGTGAGGAACTTCTTCTGTGGAACTATCAGTGGCTCCCTAGTGCCCTGGGTCTTTCTTATAAACATACATTTCTGAGCTCTATCCTAGGTCTACTGAATGAGATTTTCTAACCTGGGTCAGGAGTCTGTATTTTTAATTAACTGGGTGGTTATGACGAATAGTCGATTTGGGGAGCTATTGGATGATGATCTCCAGGATCTCTCACAGCTTTAAAACTTTGTTTTTTGATTTTTATTCCTTCTATCACTGCTTGTCCTCTCTGCTACTAGATACTGTACTAAAGCAAAACAGAACAACAACAATAAAAAAAAAAGACCATGGTTTAATCATCTTTGTAACCCCCTAGCACCTACACAGTGCCCAGTAGGTAGTACTCATTCAATAATTTTTTGAAGAATTTAATCAATGGTTATTAATTAATCAATGATTAAATAAATGAATGTTATTGCATGTGGATCCCAATCACCTATGGGTAGAGAAATCTAAAGAAAGAAAATATTTTAAACTTTTGTCTGATAAAACCTTGCTACTCCCTGTCTGCCGTATGACATACTTCAGCAATGGGTTAGTGCACATTGAGGAAGGTGGTGGACATCCCCCGGGGGCCACATCATCCCACTGTATTTCCCAGTGGCAGTGACAACTGAGGGGGATTTGTGATTCAGCAGGAGATGGTTTTTTTCTCCTTGATTTTCCAGGTCCACAAAAAGCCACATCCTGACTGGGTGCGGATGACCTTGGGGCCATACTGCAGGTCTCTGAACCTGCAAAGGTCACCTCAGATTTCTGTGGGGCCTCAGTGGTGGGAAGGGGCACTCACCTTCTGTTAGAAATTACTAGATTTGCCAGCAGTGAGTGGCAGCCAGGCAAAGCATCCTTTGCAGCCAGGGCCCCCAGGACATCTGATACCACCTCTTGTGACCCCACAGTCCTTTCTCCCACCCCTTCTTCTCTGCTCCACCTTCCACCCCTGGAGCTTCCCCAGCTCAGACACTGTCCGCTGGCCTTGGAAGGTACCGGCTCAGGATGAAATCTGTTACAGGGGTGGGCAACTTAGCCAGGGGGACATAGAGAAGTTTGGCATCCAGGCCAGGGTTGTAGCGGATGCGGGGGCTCCGGGAAACAACAGCGTGCTCCATGCTATTGACGACGTCTCTGATTCTCGGCTCTGCCAGTCTCATCATATTGTTTAATTTCTCAGTATCTGTTTGAGAGTACAGGGAAAAAATGAAAGGCTCTGTTATTCTTTATACAGAAAGTTTCTTCTGAATTCCATCAAAGCTCCCTTTCTGTTGAATCCCTGATCTAACACTGCAGGTAGGTCTACCACAACCTTCAGGTTGTCCCTTCTACAGGCACCCATGTATAAGATTAGTACAAATCTTATTCCTCTATTTCTTTCTTTCTTTTTTTTTTATTGAGATAGAGTCTCTCTTTATAGCCCTCAGTAGAGTGCTGTGGCATCAGAGCTCACAGCAACCTCAAATTCTTGGGCTCAAGGAATCCCCTTGTCTCAGCCTCCTGAGTAGCTGGGACTACAGGTGCCCACCACAATACCTGGCTATTTTTAGAGAGGAGGTCTTGCTCTGGCTCAGGCTGGTCTCAAACCTATGAGCTCAGGCAACCCACCTGCCTTGGCCTCCTAGAGTGCTAGGATTACAGGCACGAGCCACCCCACCTGGCCTTCTTATTTCTCTTCTTGAATTCAACAACTGGGCTCTGAATTTGTACTATTGCATTAGACCAGCAATACAAGTATTCCACTTGTTTTATGACCTTGGGCTTAAACTTTCCTTATCTGTAAAGTGGGAATAATAATCCTGGCCTGGAGAATAACAGAGACGATGAACAGCCGAGTAGACAGTGAGGAAGGACAGGATAGAAAAGGTATGTATGTAAGTGCATACATATGCAAGGTTATGTATGGAAAAATTGGAGTGAAGGAAGGAAAAATATTGTCTGGCTGGTGGGAGTCCTAGCTCCCGGAAGCTTTTTATTTCTTCTTCTGTGTACTTCCTAGACTTCAGTTCCCAAATGTTCTACAAAAGCATGCAGGAGTAAATAGTATTAAAAAATGGGAACACTACCTCTCCCTCCATCACACCACCGTTGTGGGCTCAAATGACCTAAGGCATACGCTGGCACCTGGCAGGGCTCTCACAAACGTGGGGGCTGTTCTGCTTGCACTGTGCACACAGGTGCTGAGAGGGGTACAGAACACCTGGGTGATACAAGTCTGCCTAAGCTCATGACATAAACAGGAGACGGGCACACCATGCATTGACTGGCCCTCATCTGCACCCTCACCCCAGGACTCTGGGACAGGAGTGGGCCAATGGGATTCATGCTTCAGCAAGAGCCCCAAGGACCCCAGAGAAAATGGTGCCTGGGAGTCAGACTTCTCTGATGGGGGAATAGTCCAGGCAGGCAGAGAATTCACTCCCTCAGGGTCAGGACCCATGGGGGTGGTTGGCAAGGGCAGAGCAGCGTCACTCAAGTCCTCTTCACTCTGGACTCTAAAGAATTTCCTTTCTGTTTCCTAAAGAGAAAACTGATGTGGGAAAAATATCAAACTCTGTCTGAGGGTTTCCAGAAGAGCCCTGTTAGCTTAAAGCCAGACTGTAAAGTAATAATGTCTTAGGAAGACAGGCCTTGCCCTCTGGCCTTGGGCCTGGCATTGAGCCCAGCACCAGTGGGACTGAGGCTGAAAGATGAGTGTTAAAGGGTCATTCAGGATGCCCAGGGCTATGCGCTTCCCACAGAAGTGGGGAGCGTTTGTGGGTGGAGGAGGTGGGGACAGGTAACACGACAAGATGGGTTGGGGACTGGGCTCCGACATGTGGGGTAGAAGAAACTACCCCAGACAAGGGAGCCACATCCTTTTGTTGTTCTCTGGAACAACTTAGTGCTGGGCACCTTGGTAGGCATGGAGCGGGAAGAGGGACAGAAGTACCCAGGGTACCCTGTCACTCTCCCTGACAGTGAGACAGGAAGAACATGGGCTTTGGGTTTGGACACCTAGGAAGACGTTTCTGATATAGCAAGAATTAAGCACGACAAAGTCTGTGAAGTATCAAGGACCAGGCTTTGGCACTTTGTAAGGCTCCAGTAGGTTAGCTGCTGTCCCTTTCTTGTTTGCCAGGGACACATCCTAGGCTTCTGATGGAGATGCTCCCCAAGATGAACGAGGGACCAAAAGGTGAATTTTTGAAAGCCTTCACCACAGACTTGAGATGAAAGAAGAAACTTGGGCTCGGAGCCTGTCGTTCAAGTGGCTAAGGCGCCAGCCACATACACCTGAGCTGGCAGGTTTGAATCCAACGTGGGCCCGCCAAACAACAATGACGGCTGCAACCAACAAATAGCTGGGAGTTGCGGTGAGCACCTGTAGTCCCAGCTGCTTGGGAGGCAGAGGCAGGAGACTCGCTTGAGCCCAGGAGTTGGAGGTTGCTGTGAGCTGTGATGCCACGGCACTCTACCCAGGGGGACAGCTTGAGGCTCTATCTCAAAAAAAAAAAAGAAAGAAAAAGAAAGAAAGAAACTTGGCCAGATGGGCTTCTCCCGAGCAAGACAGGCTGGAGCTTCACTTGAGGTCTCAGAGCGCCATCCCAACACACCACCACCGCACTCAGTGTGTGCCCTCCATGCTGACTGTGCACTCCACTTCTCTGGTAATGTGTCCCACTCAGTTGCTATTAATTATCCATTTCCAACTGGGTATAGTTAAAAATGACTCCAAGACCTCTAGGGCCTGGCCCTGGGGTTTAGAAGCCTGGGGCCTGTTTGTTTGGCCACAGCAACTTGCTGGAGTTTGCGCCCACTGGTGTAGTAAGGCCACTTCTAAAGGTTTCTCCCAGAAAGGTTTCTGACGCCCAGTCCCTTCCTCCCACAACCCCCACGACTCATAACTTCACATCACTCCTTCACTGGGTTTCTGTAGTACCAGCCCAGCTGGTCTCTTGATCCTTCCTACAGTGACACAAATCTGATTCTTAAGTCTCTCTTAAGAGCAAGATCCACACTCCTTAGGTAGCCGTCAAAGCCATGTATGAGCGGATCCCTAGTCTCTCCACACCTCCATCCCCACCGTAACCCCTCATGCTTCATTCTTGCCAAACTAGTAATAATAACAAAGGCTGAGGTTTGTTGAGCTCTTATTGTGAATGAGCTGAGTACTTTGTATTTTCATATCTTTGTTTAATTTTCCTAACAATCTCTGAGAGAGGAATCATACTTTTTAAAAATCTTTTTTCACTTTGTAGCCCTTGGTAGTGTGCTGTGGAGTCATAGTTCACAGCAACATCAAACTCTTGGGCTCAAGTAATCTTCTTGCCTCAGCCTCCTGAGTAGCTGGGACTACAGGCACCCGCCACAGAGCCTGTCTATTTTTAGATACAGGGTTTTGCTCTTGCTCAGGCTGGTCTCAAACTCATGAGTTCAAGCAATCTACCCACCTTGGCCTTCTAGAGTGTTGGGATTACTGGAATCATAGTTTTTCTTCCTCATCCTTTTTTATTTTAATTTTTTATTTTTTTTTATTTTTGAGACAGAATCTAACTATGTTGCCCTCAGTAGAGTGCTATGGTGTCACAGCTCACACAACCTCAAACTTTTGGGCTTAGGTGATTCTCTTGCCTCTCAGCCTCCCAATAGCTGGGACTGCAGGTGCCTGCCACAATGCGTGGCTATTTTTTGGTTGCAGTTGCCATTGTTGTTTAGCAGGCCTGGGCCGAGTTCGAACCTGCCTCCCTTGGTGTATGTGGCTAGTGTCCTAACCACTGAGCTATGGGCACCCAAGCCTATTATTACTATTTTTTGAGGCAATGTCACCCAGGCTGGAGTGCAGTGGTGCATAGCTCAAAGTATCCTAAAACACTGCGGCTCGAGTGATCCTGCCACCTAAGCCCCCTGAGTAGCTGTGACTGGCACTTGCTACCACATCTGGGCAATTAAACAAAGAAATATTTTTGCAGAGACATGGCCTCTCTTCATTGCCCAAGCTGGTCTAGAACCCTTGGCCTCAAATGATCCTCTTATCTCAGCCTCCCAAAGAGCTGGGATAACAAGTATGAGCCATCACCCAGCCTTTTTCTTCTTTTTTTTCTGAGTCTGGGTCTTGTTGTGTCACCCAGACTAGAGTGCTATGGTGTTATCATAACTCACTGCAGCCTCCAATTCCTGGTTCAAGCAGTTCTCCCACCTCAGGCTCCTGAGTCACACTGGGCTTACAGGGGAAGGAATTATATTTTACAAAAGAACAAACTGAAGTTTGAAAAGTTGTGTAACATGATTAGAGGGATTGCTGGGATCCAAGCCTGAATCCACCTTGCCCCTAAAACACACGTCAAGTCCCCAAAACATTGCTTATGCTCTTCCTTCTTTGTGAAACACTCACCATCTCTTTCCCTTTTGGTGAACTCCTATTCATCCTTTAAAACTCACTAAAGCATTGTCACTTCAGTGGGGCCTTTGTGATGGCAAATTTAAGGCTCTGTCCCAGGGCTTTGTTCTGTATGCATGTCCATACCGCACAGCTCTCTGCGTGGGTTGCATTTCCTTTCAAATCTCCTCTCTCAGATTCCCAGAGACTCTCATCTCTGTCTTCCAGTAAATATTAGGTGACCAAAGTGAGAATTAGAGTATAATCACTTGGGAAAATGTTTTATCTGAAGATGGATGACTCCTGACTGAAAATTTTCCTCTGAAATTATAGTGCAGGCTACAGATGAATTCACATAAGGTAATTTATAAACTCACAATCCCGAACCGTTCTTCAGAATAACAATACTTGCTTTTTGACAAGTGATTTTCTGAGGAAGTCTGCCTTTCTACATATTCTTTTTTTTTTTTTTAGAGACAGTGTTTGCTCTGCCATTTAAAATGGAGTGCAGTGGCATAATCATAGCTCACCGCAGCCTCAAGCTCTTGGGCTCAAGCGATTCTCCCACCTCAGCTTTCTGAGTAGCTGGGACTATAGGCATGTGCCACTAAGCCTGATAAACTCTTTTTAAATTTTTTTAGAGATGGGGTCTTACTCTATTGCCCAGGCTGGTCTAAGCTCCTAGCCTCAAGCAGTCCTCCCACCTTGGCCTCTCAAAATGTTAGGATTACAGGTGTAAGCCACTGCACTCACTCTCTTTCACAGACTGCACTGAAGGCTCTACACCCTCTCTCTGCATTGATTACTTACTTAGAAAATGACTTTGTGAAGTTTCCAGACACTGGCTGAATCTGTTTGACTGTAGCCTCGTAGGAACTCTGCAAATTTGAACCACTCTTTGCTATGGGAGGTTTAGGGTGATCACACAGGGGATGTATATTACTCCTCTCACCTGCTAATATCTACTCCCTTGGTTCCCAACAACTGCAGATCTCCTTTTGGGTCTCCCTGCTCCCCCATGGCAGTCTGGGCAGACCATATGATCCAGACGGAGCCGATCAGACTATCACATCCCCTTGGCACAGTGATTGGTTCAGGGTCAGGTACATCCTGGGTTCCTTCTGATTTAACTGCCAGAGACCCTTTGAGTCAAAGTGAATGTTAGGACCTTTGGCAGGAGCTACTGGAAAGGATTCTCCCTTATTCCTGGCAGACTTCACCTTAAGAGGAGGTAAAGAGAAACTGTAGCTATGTGGCCCCCACAGGGGAGAATGTTTGTGACACTGGAATCAATACCAAAAAAAAGCAGAGCCATGACACAGGATGAAACCAGGTCCTAAAAACATCATTTGTAGGCAGGATCAGGCTGTGACTGAAGCTCATCTTACTCATTTTTTAGTCATATGAATCAAGAAATTCGTTTTCTGCTTATATAATTTGGGTTGGGCTGAGTGAGCTGGTTCATACCCATAATCCTAGAACTCTGGGAGGCTGAGGCAGGTGGCTCATTTAAGCTCAGGAGTTCAAGACCAGCCTAAGCAAGAGGGAGATCTGTATCTACTAAAAATAGAAAAATTAGCTGGGTGTGGTGGCAGATGCCTGTAGTGCCAGCTACTCAGGATGCTGAAGTAAGAGGATCACTTGAACCTAGGAGTTTGAGGTTGCTGTGAGCTAGGCTGAGGCCACGGCACTCTACCCAGGATGACAGAGTGAGTCTCTGTGTCAAAAACAGACACACAAACAACAATAAATAATTTGGGTTGGATTTTCTGTCTCTTGTTACTGAGAAAGTCCTAACTAAGGTAAATCTTCAGATATTTTTTCTCAGAATTCTTACATGTCCAGAGCCAAAAGATTATTTTCTGCAAGGAATGCTTCCCCAAATATTTTTCCCTGAGGCTTCCCTAAATCAATGAATGAATGATACTTTTCATCCAGGTCCCTTAGGCTTTAAACCTAGCACTCAATCTTTAATGGTTCACAGCCACAGCAGCTGGTTTAATATACACCTGGCATCCAGCAGCTTCTTTCCAACTCCTCTACCTTCTCCCCCCTCCAAACCACTGGCTGGTCTAGCCTAGGATAGTGCAGCAACCAAAGTCGTCTTTTTCTAATCACAAAGCAGATCACACCCTTACTCCTCAGTGAGCTTTGATGCTTTAATTTATCCTGTGCCCCCTCTAGCTACCCATCCCATGCTCCCCACTCTGGTTTCTTTCAAGTTCCTCAAAAGGAGTTTCCTGCCTTAGAGTCCTCCTGCTGCAAAAAAAAGTTCCTGCTCATCCCCTCTTTCCCCTTCTCAGCAACACCTCACTCTTCTTCCTTCAACTCAGAGAAGCTCTCTCCAACACCACAGTTTGAACTGGGCTCTAACTCTCAGCCCTGCTCTTCTTTTACCATCCTGTTTTTTCTCTGTGGCACTTATCCACATTTATCATTAAATGTTTGGGTTTTTATTAGCTCCTGTCTCCCCTACTGGGCCACAAGCTACAGGTTTCGAGGGACAAGCTACTTTGTTGGCTTCTGGCACACGGTAGCCAAAAAGTAAAACATGTATTAAGTGAAGAAATGGCTCTCCTGTTTTTATGTCTTGGCATGACACATGTGATGTCCAGGAGACAACTGCTGCCGCACCAGGTTTGGGGCAGTGTAGGGAACAGCTGTCATATTCTGACTCTACCCTCCCCAAACACCTAAGGTTCACAGGAGACCCTTGGCTCAGAGACAGAAAGGGAGTACATAGAGACTCTCCCTTCAAATACCTACATGCTAGTTTTCTTCTTTATTTAACAAGCAGAGTGTGCAAGATACTTCACACCTATTAATGCTCATAGCAACCCTCAGGTAGGCACTATCATTAGCTCCATTTTACAGATGAGAAGACTGAGGCATAGGGCAGAGCAGGGATTTGAATTCAGATCTGTCTGAACTAAGGCAGTCTGGCTTTTGGCTCCAGCAGCCACACTCTTCGTCACTTCTCCAGATTCATCTTAGTACTTATGCCCCGGATTGTTATTAGGTTTTGGGAACAGGAGCCAGGAGTGGGCAGCATCTCCTAACTATCCCCACCTCCCCCCATCCCCTCACCCCCACTCCGCACCGCCTGCCCCAAGCCTGTCTTTGGTTTTGCCTCTTGGTCTCTCTGGCCAACCCCCAGCTCTGCCACTAGCTGTGTGGCCTTGGGTCCTGAACTCCTCTGAGCCTCTGTCAACATCTGTAAGTGGCAACTGAGTCAGGGACCCCGAGAGGGCAGAGCCCCTGGCCACACTCACAGATGCGGAAGTACTCCTCCCCGTAGCTCTCCCGCGTCTCCGGTGGCAGCCGTGCCCACAGCTTGCGCATGCGTGACACTATTCCGTCCTTGCCCAGGATGGACGTCCGGTAGTTTCCCGGCTCGATGATGCTGACTTTCACCCCAAAGTAGTGGAGTTCACGCCTGGAAAGGGAGTGTTGCATTCAGTCTGGGGCCCAAGATGATAGTCGTCAGGCAGAGTCACCTCTGGAGGACCTGCGTCCCCCAGGAACCTGGGGATGCTTCCCCTCCTGCACCTGGCCTCAGCCTTGCTTTCATGCAAATAAGCCCTCCCTGAGGGCCTCAGCTCTTTCCCAAACTGGTCCAGCAGTCTCTGGGCGATTTGCATCAGGCCAACTCAGAGGGGAGGAAGTCAACAGAGAATCTAGGCCAAGGCCTTGCCTCCTACCAGGCCCTTCCCACCTTTAGCCCCATACTGGACAGATACATGGCAAAAGGAGTGAGGGGTACACACAGGGCCTGCGTTCTCCTCTGCCCCCAGGCCTGTCTGTCTGTTTGGGGAACTCTCCCTGCTGCTCCCACAGGCCCAAACGGGGTCTCACTTGCTCTGGGGCAGCTCAAGGGAAGCCACACTGAACACCTCCTATCTCCACCACACTTTTCCTCATCCCTTCTTTTCTCAGTCCTTGGGGAGGGCCCCTTGAGGCCTAATCTTCCTTCTGCTACCGTTTAGCTTCTTCCTTGCGTAACTCTCCTGCCCACACATCGTCACCCCCAGCCTGCTCTTCCTGAGGCGAATCCCCCAGGATTCCCACCCAGAGTGGTTTGGTACCAGAGATCAGTCACCTGATGCTGTCAGAGAAGGCCTCCACACCAAACTTGGAGACGCAGTAGCCACCACCAATGACAGCAACACGACCACCAGAGCTGGACATGTTGACGACCCTGCCCCGGGCTCTCTTAACCATGGGCAGCATGTGAAGGGTCACTTCGATCAGTCCCACCAGATTCACATTGATCACCTTCACAAAGTCCTCCTTGGTCAGCCATTCATTAGGACCACTGGGCAGGCCCACACCAGCATTGTTCACCAGGGCCCACAGGCCTGGGGACAAGATGGAGGGAGAGAGAATGATTCAGAAACCAGCAGTGTCTCAGGGAAAGCACCCTGGCCCACTCCCTTCTGACTCAGGACCACCAAGAATGATTGAGCAGGGGCACAAGAGGGAAGACTGCCGTGCCTGGGGCATGGGGCAGGGAGCTATAACAACCTGAAGAAAGGTGTGCCTTTCACTAATCAGTGCCCCCCCCCCCAAAGGCACTTTTTCTTGATTCATAGAAAGGCTGCTAGCCAGCTGGAGCTCTGTACCAGCTACAGCACCTAAGCTGTTAGCTCTGAGATGAGAGACATCATTTTTATATCAATGGATTAAGTTGATATATGGTTTCCTGCTGTCATGCTCTCCACCCCCCCATCCAACTAAGTATGACCAACTACATTTCACACACACACAATCATTCATTAATGCATTTCATGCACACATATTCATGCATGCGTTTCATACACTCACACAATCATTCATTCCTGCATCTACTCTGCCATTGATGGAGCAATGGAGATGTAAAATGAACAGCACAGGTCTTCTCCCTCAAGGCCTCATAAACCAGAGGGGAAATAATTATAAGCAAATATACTATAAAACATTTAAATAAAATCATAATGGAAAAATATGATAAGGGCTGTGTTTGAGATATTTAAATTGGGTTGATATAAATGAAGAGAAATACATGTAGCACTGAACATTATCCTTCTGCTCTGCAGGGGCCCATGGTTGAAGAGCCTCAGTTCCAGTCCTTGTGCTGCCTCCAGCCTTGGACACGTCACTTCCTCTCCCTGGGCCTCCCCCCCCCCGTTCCCAGTGCTTCTTAGACTAAGGATTTTGCCCAGGGGCCTAGGAAGAATAATGGTCCCCCAAAGATATTCCTATCTTCTTCTCTGGAACCTGTGGACATGTTGAGTTAGTGGGAAAGGGGAGTTAGGGTTGTAGATGGAATGAAGATTGCTAATCAACTAGGGGGAGGAGATTATCCTGGATTAGCCTAGTAAGCCTAGGCACACTATAATCGAAAGCATCCTTTTAAGTGGAAAAAAGAGGAGGAAATCAGAGAACTGGAAAAAGCAAGAAAAGGACTCAGCCCAACCTTGCTGACCTTGAAGATGGAGGAAACGGGCCATGAGCCAGAGAATGTGGGTTGCCCCTAAAATCTGGAAAAGGCAAGGAAAGGGATTGTCCTCTAGTGCCTCCAGAAGAAACACACCTCTGCTGATACCTTGATTTTAGCCCAGTGAGACCTGTTTTGGACTTCTCCAGAACTAAAGAATAATAAATTTGCAGTGTTGTGAGCCACCGCATTTGCGTTAATTTGTTACAGCAGCAATAGGAAACCAGTATACTCAATGAATCATTAATTGATGTGGTTCAGGGATGAAGGCAGGGAGCTGGCTGAGGCAGCCTGTTGAAGAAAGAGGCTTACTCTTGCTGAACTATTCAGTAACTAGTTCATTCAGCAAATGTTTACTGAGCATCTGACTAGATGCCAGACACTATTTTAGGTACTAAGGATATGGAGTGAATAAAAGACAAAAAGCCCTGCCCGCAGGAAGCTTTATTTTAGCAGAAGAAATAGACAATAAATAAGAAAAAGTAGTAAACTATATTGTATAATGAATAGTGATAAGCACTGAGGATAAAAATAAAGCAGGGCGTTTCTGTCTGGCTCCTCCTGGCCTCAGGATTCAGTTGCCCAGCCCTGTGTGGACCCCAGACTAGTTCCTGTAGGAGTAAGGACATCCCTCAGGCTCTTGCTTAGCCATCCTGTTCCTCCTGCTCCTGCACCCACACCCGGTGCACTGGAAGCTTGTGCGGCAGGCCCCAGGCCACAGCCTCCTTTCCTAATAGGATCAGCCACTCTGACATAGATGCTTGCCCTGAAGCGAAACCAGCATGCACTGTGACATCAGGAAGAGAAGAGGCCTCCATCTCCCCTGCCTGACACAGTAAGGGAGAGCCAGTGCACCCAGTCCTTGGGTCCAACCCTCATCCCCTTCCCCCATCATTAGTCTAATTCCAACAAGAAATGTGCTTTCTATTTCTACAGGAGCTGAGGGTTGGGACTACTAGGGAAGTCTCAGAGAGGCATCTCCATCTTTAGAAGTTTGTAGGGACAGAACACACCTTCCCTTCTTTGCCTCTTAGGTCAACCTCTTTCCTGTTCCTCTGAGTTTCCAAGGAGAGAAAACTTCCTTGGGAAATCACCCCTTCATGTGAACAAGCCAAATCATGCAGTGGCTTCCAACATGACTGAGCGAGAGCCCCATCCCCACATCGCCTCTCCCAGCCCACCAGACTGCTACTGCCAGATGCCTTGGGAGAGAGAAAGAAGGAGAAGCTGAGAAAGCTGAAGAATGCACTTCTGCCCACCTTGCTCGCCCACTTGGTCCCTCACCCACTGGGCTGCCGCCTGGATGCTCTCAGTCTTGGTGACATCCAGTAGGGTGGTCTGCAGTCCATAGGAGGTGTCCTGCTGCAGTTTCTGGGCCCCCTCCTCAGTGAAGCAAGCAGCCAGCACCCGCATGCCCCGATCAACCAGCTGTCGGGCCAGCATGTTCCCGAAGCCCGAGTCACAGCCCGTGATGAAGACATACTTTTCTGAGAGGTCGCGGACCAGATTGCAGTTCTTGAACCAGCGGTACATAAAGGAGAGGTCTGTGAGAGCTGCCATGGGGCAGGTGGAAAGTGATGGCCGGGAAGGACTGGGCTTGGGAGTCAGTGGGTAAGACTGGTCCTCTGAGCCCCAGCCTGCAGTCTGCTGGAAGCACTGGGAAGAAGAGCACTCCTCCCTCTCCACTGCTTGCAACAGACGCAGAGCCTCTGGGTGAACCACTTGGTAATTTTTATAGGTAGATGCATCACCATACCAATTAGCCCAGATGCAAGAAATTCGAGTCCAACCTGAAGCCATGTCACCTCTGACAGTGCTGGTGGCTGCCTCCCTCTCTCCTCCTGCCCTGATGGGTAAAGCCCCAGTGGCCATGTTGGTGAAGAGGTGGCTCACACTATTGTGTGAGGGGTGGCAAACGAGGAAGGACGACTCTGCCCAGGGAGCCCCCAGGTACCTCCTACCCCAGCTCCAGCCCTGGCCCAGGGATGAAAATCATTTGTCAGGAATACAGGCATATAAATAAGCTTAACTTTTATTTTCAGGGGAAAAAATTAAGACAAATGTGTTAATGCAAAACACACAAAAATGGGTTCTGTGCTTTCTAAACCCCAAGAGAAAAAAGTTCCAGGTCAGCAGCTTTTTGGAATCCTTAGGTAAGTCTCCATCAGGAGAGTGAGAAATAGGATCCTGAGGTCAGAGGCAGCAGGGCCCTCCTCTTGCGGAGGCCAGTAATGTGAGGCCTCAACTCCCAGAAAGTAGAAGGAGGACCTTACTCCTTGGGGGGGTGATACTCAGGTCACCAATGAGGAGTGCCTGCCCGGTGATGTGGAGGTGGGGACAGGCGCTCACAGGAGAGCAGAGAGAGGGCCTGGGCAGAGTCCTTGGCCCCGGCAGGGGTTGAGATAGAGGAGCAGAGAACTGGGGCCAGACACTTAGAACATTCTCAGGGTCAGGACTAGGAGAAGGAGAGATTCCTGGTAATTGGATAAAGAACTCGCAGAAAAGTAGAAGGAAGGTGGTGAAGGAAAGGAAACGGGGATGCCAGACAGGTGTTAGAATGAGGGGCCACATGTGGAGCTGCCTGAGATGCAGGGACAAAATGATGCTGGAGCATAGAGTGGCTTCTTGGATTGACCTCCAGGGTCACCATTCCTTAGCAGCCTGGTCAACCAGCCCATGCCTTCTCATTTTAGAGGACTGGACATAGAAATGGGGCCACAAAGTTCCCAGAGTGGAGGGATAAAGGGGGAACCTCTGTGCTGCACTATTTACCTGGACTGCCCAGCCCCAGAATCAGGTAAAGCAGATGTTCCCTCAGGAAAGGCCAGCAGGGCTGGGCTACTCTAGGCTGTCCTAGCAGTGTTGGAGAGGAAGTGTGGTCAGAACTTGGGTGGCCATCCTGGAAGAGCAGACCCCAAACCCACGGGGCAAGGAGATAGGCAGTGGTAGAAGGCAGACCCTATCTACTTCCTGGTACCCTGAGGAGAGCCCCTCCTACACTGGGTCTGGAAAGCACCTCCCCATCTCTGTTTGCCTCCTGGTGAGTGAACAGACATCTTGGTCTGGAGACGTCAGCCCCTATCATTCAGGGCCTAAGCAGTCCCGGGGCAGTGGATATCCCAGTTCTTGAGGACACAGATAAATCCAGTCATTGGCTGTGGACCTGGATTAAGGTGACTCAGAACTTCCCCAATATGGGCCTGCGCCTGACACAGCACTCCTTGGACCTCTCTGCTGGCCCAGGCAGCATTCCTCTGGCCTCAAACTGAAAACGCAGGCCATGGACATGGGTTGTGAAGGTTGTGGGACCACACAGAGGGCTCTTCCTCTCAGGGCCTCCTGTTCTCAGATGACAGGTCTCCTTGCTGAATTAGCACCTGAGGCCTGATGGGTCAGGTTGTTGGTGGCCTCCCCAGCCCCACCCCCAGAGGAGGGAGCCCTTTCCTCCAGGCCATTTCCATCCTGTGGGAGGGTATAGGTTTTCCAGGTAAGGCCTAGTCTGAGGAGGTGAACAGAGGCAGAGCAGCTGTGGCCCGGCCCCTTCACCCCTAAAGTGTGTATATGTGTATTCTTCAGGATGGTGGGTGGGCGATGAGGCTCAGAGTCTTCAGTGACTGTTGAAGTAAATAGGATGCCGGTATATGTAATTGGCTCTCTCTTTTGAAGCTGCAAATGAGGTTCTTTCCTCCTAATGTCCCCAGAGGCTTGACTGATGTCCCAGGAAAAACCCAGGGCAGAAGTGAGGAGGGGTGTGGGAACATAACCTGAAAACTTGAGAAATGACTTCCATCACTTTATTCCCCACCCCACCACACATGACCTCTCAACCCTCATGGCCAGAATACAAGGAAGGAGATAGGACAGGTGACCAGGTGACATGAGAGCTGTCCCACTCCACCCTCCTTCTCCAGAGGACACTTCACCCCACCCAGTGTCCAACCTCTTCTCCACAAGCACCTCAGTCATAGCTTCACAGGGCTTTGTCCGGCCTTGGGAGGCCCCAGCTGACAACAGCATCCACCAGGAAGGTGGGCATGTAGCTCAGGGGGAGGTAGAGAAGCTTGACGTCCCAGCCAGCTGAGTACCGGGTGCGGGGGTGGCAGGCGGTCAGCGCATGCTCCATGCAGTCCGTCACCTCAGACAGATTCAGGCTGCATGCGGCCATATGCTTTTCAGATATTATTTTGAGGTCTGTTCAGGATGAGAAAAGAGCCTCAATGTGCTGCCAGGTACCCCCCTCCCATTCCCACCATTCACAGCTCTACCTTAGAAGGAAACATTCTAAGAATGCCCAGGCCCCTCAGAGATGTGCCCCAAATCAACTAGATCCACGATCCCCAGGGAGTGGCCCACTCTTGCCCCATGAGCAGCTGCTACACACCAAGCCTCCTCTCCTCCCTGGTGGGGATATGGGGATGGGACTAGTAGAAGTTCTCTGCCAACAGAGGCTCAGTGCAGGGACACCAGCCATCTCTACACCGCTGGCCACAGACCCACAGTCTCTTCTCTCTCTGACTTTAGTTTCCTCTTCATAACAGTGAGGGGACCAGAGCAGACAGTGGTTCCCATTATAGGAAGACTGCAGTCCTTCTCTAGGTGACCTGCTGACCACAAGGGAATCTGGGGGAGGGGCTAAAACACCTCACTTTGTGGGGTGCTAAACTTCCTTCTCCTCTCCTCACAGTATTGGGGCACTAATGATGGACCTAGGGCTTCAAATGAGGGTTCAGTTCTCTGCTGAGGGTCCACAGCTCACTCACAGGATGCTAGAAACTTTTGGCCATAGATCTCCTTGATCTCAGGGCTGACATTGTCCCACATTATCTGGACATTCTGCAAAACTCTCTCAGTGTTGGTCATGTTCGTCCTGTAGTGACCAGGCACGATCACAGCCACCTTCACCCCAAAGTGGGCGAGCTCCCTCCTGCAAGACAGACATGCTGAGGGCCGGGACTTCAGAGGTCTGGGAAGCAAAACACAGAAAACAAACAAATCCAGTAACAAGCCAAGTCACGATGGTGGTGGGATAAGCCAGAAATCCTGGCAAGTTGGGACATACAGTGGCCAGTGGGCAAAACTTATGAGGATGGGCAAGATGCCATGGCTCATGCCTGTAATCCTAGCACTATTGAAGGCTGAGGGGAGAGGATCACTTGAGAGGGGAAAGAATCACTTGAGGACAGGAGTTGGAGACCAGTCAGAGCAAGAGTTAGGCCACGTCTCTACTAAAAATGAAAAATCTAGCCTGGCATTGTAGCAGCTGCACGTAGTCCCAGCTACTTGGGAGATTGAGAAAGGAGGATGTCTTGAGCCTAGAAATTCTACCCACCCTGAACCACCCATATTCTGCCTAAGGTGCCACTGCAGGGCTACCTCCATGCCCCTCATATCCTGTCATCACCACGACTTGCTCATTGCACCCTTTGTGTTTCTCAGCCCCTTCCTCCCTCACCCACCTCAGGAACTCCCTGGGTCTGCTCAGAGGGCTGCTGCAGCTGTCTTCTGAGGAGCATCCCTCAGCCTTCAGTCCCGCCTCCCCCCACGCCATCCCTCAGCCTTCAGTCCCGCCTCACCACACACAGCTCTGCTCCCTGCACCCAGAGGGCATCTGGATGCCTGGTAGACCAAGCAGCCACGCTGAGCACACTCTGCCATGGGTTCACTGTCAACGACATGAAGTCTGGCCCAAGTGCAGAGTCACAGGCCTCCACTGCCTACCCCTGCCCACCTGCCCATCTCCCTGTGGGCCTGCACTGATGACATCCTCTCATGCAGGAGCCCTGCCCACCCTTCTTCACAGGCTGACAGATGCAGCTCTCCAGGTCTCAGCTCTTACCACACATTGGGGATTCTCCCCAAATATGGGGGGAGGGGGAGCCACAGCCAGCATGGCTGACTAAGTCACAACCCTTATAAGCATTGGTGAAAATGTTTTTGTATCTCTTGTGCCTCTACCTCCCAGCTGTCCAGGTTTCTAGGTCAAAGACTAAAACATGTTGTCCAAGGGTGTGTTGACTCCCCACTCTCACTACTGTCCCCTGCTGTCTGTGGCATTGAGTCAGAGGCTGCACCCACCCTCCCCAGACCCAGGCACTTGAATATTGCAGTGGCCATGGACATGGGCTCTGTACCCAAAGTATCCGTGTTCCTATCTGTTGCAGACGTGTTCTATGGGTCCTTCTCAAAACAGACCCACATTATGTGGGTTCTTAGGCTCGGGGCCCCTCTCTCTAACAGAACATGAAGAGGAGGTCCCAAGGGATGGCTGGCTAAATCCGAGGAAGTGCAGGGCCACAGAGCCTGACAGAGGAATCATGAACAAGAGGCAGCTAAGGCTGTGATTAATTCAAACTCCTGAAAATGCTCCAACAAGAACAGGGACAAGACCCAGGCCAGGCCCCAGCCCAGTGCAATACCTGAGGGAGTCCGAGAAGGCCTCGATGCCATACTTGGAAATAGCATAGCCGCCACCATAAAGCGACACCCGGCCCAGGATGCTGGAGACGTTGACCACGCGGCCCCTGGCCTTCCTCACTAAGGGCAGCAGGCTCAGAGTCACTTCGATCACCCCCAGCAGGTTCACGTCTAGTATGGTCACAAAGTCCTGCTTCGTCAGCCACTCGTTAGGGCCAGCGGGCTGGCAGATGCCAGCGTTATTCACCAGGCCCCAGAGTCCTGGGACAGGGGGAGATGAGAGCAACACTGTGTTGAGCCTGTGCAGTTGGATGCAGTTAGGTTCACGTTTCCATTCCTGTGGAATTTACGTGTGGAGTCAGGAAGAGTGGGCTACAAAGCACAAGGGAATAGAGTGGAGGAGAGGAAATACAGATGTGCTGGCTCCTGGGTGCAGTGATGTTCTCTTTGCATATTCCTCAAGGAATGTGCTGCTGAGGTTAGGGAGGGTCCTTGTCATCTCTGTTCCAGTGCCTGGTGCCCAGCGTGCAAAAGACCCAACTTTGTTAAGGGCACGGGCAGAGTTTGAGAAAATAGAGTGAGCACCCAACAAACATCTCATGACAGGAGAGAGACAGAGACAGTAAAAGGGGAGTGGGGTAAAAGAACCTAAGGGAAATGCAGAGAGGAGAAAGGAAAAAGCAGAAGGAAAAGGGAAAAAACCCCATGAATAATAGTTTTTTATACCCTGATTGGGAAAGGCTCACTTAAAATCCTAAGAGTGGGTGACTTGAAGCCTGTAACTCAGTAGTTAGGGGGCTGGCCACATGCAGTGGGGCTGGCAGGTTTGAACCTGGCCTGGACCTGTTAAACAACAATGACACCACCATCACCACCAACAAAAATAGCCAGGTGTTGTGGCGGGCGTCTGTAGTCCCCACTACATGGGTGGCTGAGGCAAGAGAATTGCTTAAGCCCAAGAGTTTGAGGTTGCTGTGAGCTGTGATGCCACACCACTCTACCAAGTGTGACATAGTGAGACTCTGTCTCAAAAAAAAAAAAAAATCCTAAGTGTGTTCTCTTCCCTTTCTTCTCTCTCTGTTTCCCTTCCCCTTCCCTCCTTGTCCTTCCCTTTCCTCTCCTCCCCTCCTCTCTTTCTCCATCCCCCCTCTCTCACTCTCCATGCCTAAAAAAAATTCAAATAGTGGAGTAACCTAGGAATAAGTCTACTTTGGACATCAGGGGACAAACTGTGACACAATCTGCACAAATTCCAAGGCAGTATTTGCTCAGGAGGCAATGTTCACCCTCTCTGCCTGAGAATCTTAGGTCCACCATAGGGGGTGAAGGGGAAACCTGGGACAGATAGGGAGGAGGCCTGAGGCCACACTAGTGTCCAGACTGCACCCTTGGTCCACTTTCCTGGGCCCAGGGAAGTGTCAACCTCTTTTTCCACCCTCCCCAAAGTTCACCTGTGACCTAACCTGGCCGGTCCCCAGTGCACTTAGCTCATGGAAAGATTCTCCGGAAGATATAGAGGGGAAAAAAAAAGATACAACGTGGAGGATTTGAAATAGTTGAGTTACCCGACTACAGACCCAAGGTCAGCGGGAGCAGGGTTTTCAGTGAGTGAGGGCTGGGGGGCAGGATGGACAGAGTTTGAGTGTAGGAATATTAGAAAGTGAATAAAGCCTTGCAGTATTAGTCTCCCCTGCCCCTGATATTTTTCTTGGCTTTATAGAAATTAGCATTCTTCGTTCCCTTATTTTACTTTACTTAAATAACATCACTAAGAATATGAACAAACCTTCCTACTGAATCCTTACAGAGATGTTGTTTGTGCTAGGAAAAGTGAGAATCAAACTTCAGCATCTGACAATATAAGACTTAAATAAATTATACTCTCTTAACATCAACATATAGACATTGAATATTACATTTTGGAAGAGATTTGATGATACAGAGCTGATCCCAGAGTTCATAATGTAGAGAGCAATGAACTCTGAGAAGGACTTGAAAATTCAAACATCCTAAGAATCTTCCCTGTTGGCAGACTAAGGTCCCTGGTCACACAGATTGAAAAAACAGATAGAAACAGAAGTCTGGGAGGTACCTCTGTCCCCTACACGCTCCTTCACCCACTGGGTGACTGCAGTGATGTTCTCTGCCTTAGTGACATCCAGAGTCACCGTCTCCAGCCTGTGTGATGCCTGGGCCTTCAGCTGCTCCGCTGCCTCCTCTGTCCTGCATGCAGCCAGAACCCTCAAGCCTCTCGTGTCCAGCTGTCTGGCCAGCAGGTTCCCGAAGCCAGAGCCGCAGCCTGTGATGAAGACGTACTTGTCTTGGAGGTGGCTCACCACCTGCCTCTCCCGGTACCAGCGCAGCAGGTAGTACAGGCCCAGGAGGGCTACCAGGTACAGCCACATGGCTTGCAGAGGACAGTGCCTACCAGCTTTGACTGTGCTAGATGTCTAGTACTCTCTGCTGCGAGCTTTACAGATGTCTCCCTATTAATAGGCATTCTTGGATTTTTATCTCAGTGATGCTGTGAAGAAATCCTCAGAAGGTTGATCAGACGCATTGATTTTCCCCAGCCACTCCTCTCTCTCCTCCTTGCCATTCCTGTGGAGAATGGGCTATTAGGCAGGAGGGACCCCATAGCCTGGGGAACATTCAGGGAATGAACCCCCAACTGTTTCTCCTCCTTTCCAAAACAACCAGATTCTTGTCTTCATGCTCCCTGCCAGTAGTCATGTAGCTCTTTCTTTGTCTAGTTAATTTTTTTTCTTTCTTTCTTTTTTTTTTTTATTTCAGGCTCCTTTATTCCATGAATATTTACAGAACATCAACTATAGGCAAAACATTGACACAATCATTGAAGATAACATTGGGACAAATATATCAATTTTATGAGGAAATAAAAGCATTATCTACAAATCAATTATGAGATAAGTGTACTCATTACCACCACTCCTAGTAAAGTTGAAGATCCTAGCTAATACAATTATGATAACTTAAAAATCCCAATGGTTTGTAAAAAAAATACAAATTTCATTTGTACTTTATTCTGAGTTACCAAGTTACTTGCAAGTTACCAAAAACAATAGAAAAATTCAGCAATGTAGCTAACTTCAAAATAACTATACAAAATCAATTATATTCCTATGTAAAAAAGAATTACAAAATAATATTAGAAAAAGAAAGACAGCATTGTATCAGCAACCAAAATAGAAAGTACCTATCAATATAGCTTTAATAAGAGCTGTGCAATTTTTTTTGAATACATAAACATTTACTACTTGTTTGTTACAGAATATACAAGACAAAATACAAATAGCAAACAATTTTTTTTCTTTATTATGTTTTTACCAAAGTCTAAAAAAAGATGACTAATATATATGAATAAAAGTAAAAAATAATTTCTAAAAATAAAAGCAGATCACGCCAAGTCTTATAGATAGTAGAACCAGAAATACTTCAAAATCATTCTATTTAGTCTGGATACCCCGATAGTAAAATTAGAAACAATATATTATTATAAAGGGGAAATTACAGACATATTTCACTGATGAATAAGGATGCAATGTGATAAACAACATATTGACATGTTGAATTAAAA